CCTGCTGGAGGGAACCAAACATGGCAATTCAAAAAAAAAAAAAGTGCAGACAAATTTTACCACCTTTTACCATGATATACAGTACTACACTTTGCATTTTCCAAATCAATGCAAAGCATTGTCTAGATGAGGTGCAAAGCGAGACATCATTGCTCTGCCTCTCCACCTAGTCCACTGAAAAGCATTCTTTGGATGGCGCCCATGAGTGGCTAACCTTCTGTGTTCAGAATGCATCAGGCTGCTCAGCATGTGGCCTGGAAGCAAGTGGAGATCGCTGGAGTGGCAGTTTAATTATCACCGAACGTAAAAGGAAAAGAAAATCCCATATTTTAAGTTGTCCTCAGAACAGGAAAAAAAAATTGCCTTTAGTTCTACTTTATGGATACACTTCAAATACATTCCCCACACAAAGTGAATTTGTTGCTTTGTCCTGCATCACACATTTGTGGGTAAGCCATTACACTGATGTCTGGACCACACACTTCCAGACTGTTTTTTTCTTATTATCACAGGGTTGATCTTTTGCCTGGCATGCAAAGCATAACAGGAACATCTACACTATATTACAAAATGCAGGCCAAGCTCCCTGTGAAAAGTATGCAAAGTGTAGTAATCATAAAACACAGGGCTTCACTTTTTAGATTTCCTTTTACTTATCTGCACACATTTACAATACTGCCTAAATGTTTTCTACATGTACTTTGTACTCCAGGGCAATTAATCTAGTAAAAATGCAAATGATGATTGCTACATTTATAATACCTATCCCATTCTTGGAAAGAAATTCTTCTAGTTCCTGGTTTTGTACCTTCCACAATCTAAATTCTTCACAGCTCATTGTCTCATGTATATCTTCCCACTGTGTGATACAGAGCAAGAGAAAATCACTATTCTGGACAGAATATATGCTGCACTTGCAATGTTTGTACTGCATTTTATGGAATCTGGATATTAGTCTAGAATAATGAATTTGATCTTTGTTTATTAGGCTCCATGCACACTGGGCATTATGATAACGCTGGTAACGTTAGCTGTGTAAAGTCAAGTTTTTCAGCTTTTTTGCAGCATTTTGCTGTGTTTAGCTGCGTTTTTTTCCGTGTTTGTGGTTTTAGCGTTTTTTTTTACAAGAACATATTTGGGGTCAAAAAAAGTCCAAAAACACGGGTTTGTGGTGGTTTAGAGTGTTTTTACTGCGTTTTTGCTGCGTTTTTTCAGTGTTACAGCCTCTAGAAACCCACTAGTCCTGGGGTTTTTTTTCCAGCCAAAAAATGCCCCTGCCAAAAAATGTTGATTACAGTCTAATTGTGCATGGACACATAGGATAACATGCTGGAGAGTTTTACTGGCTGTAGAAGAAAACGTCAAAAGCCAAAAACAGCAGCTGTAAAAAAGTCCAGTGTGCATGAGGACCAAAAGTCACTTTGTTGCAGAGTTCAGTTTAGAGGAACTGTAATATATAGGGGACACTTATCTACCTTTTTTGTGTTAAAATAATAAAACTTGCTGCATAATTATTTATTAAATACTTAGACTTACTTGCTGTTTGCAGCTGAAACAAGTGCTTTTTATGGCAAGTTGGACATTCCATCTTTAATGTGTCTCCCTCATGTAGAACTCCAAAAGGACACTAAGAGGATGTAAACACATTAAGAAATATTAACAAAGTTTGCATTGTGACTTCCTTTGAGTCATATCTGCAATGAAACATAAATCAAAATCTGTACATACTTTGAATGCAAGCACTAAACAGTACATACACATTTTATTATAGAGGAGGTTGGTGTAGGCAGACAGCTCATGGGAGCAATAGTGCCTGGACCTGGTTTTCTCACCTGTCTGGTTGACTTTCTCCACTTTGAGAGAGCTAGCCTATGGCTATCACATCATATCATATATTATATCATTGTATAATACAGTATATATGTGATGATTTTACTGAGTCAGCATTGCCTGACTCAGGAGATGCTCATGTCATATCTATGGACAGTTTTTAGATGGCATAGACAGTAGAGGTTTGTTGGATCATGCCTCTACATCCACGTTTTTGACAGGTTCCTAAACAAGATATTTGCTTTATATGACCATTCATGTTTAGATCTATGAAGCTGAAAAGGGTAATCAGACTACAGTACAGACTCTTCCCATGTTTGTTTGTCTGGCAAAACAACGGTGATCACACAAAGTTTTTCAATTTGTCAACATCACTGTTTTCTCCCGCATGCCTTGGTTAACAGTGTCTTCCAGTAAGTCATAGACATGAGACTGTCCCTAGAACAGGCTAAACCAGGCAACGTTCCATGGGAATCTTGAGTCCTGGAGTGAGTGTCCTGACTGTAGTTTGCTATTTTGATTTAATGTCTCTTCATACTATGCAACATTAAAAGATCTGCTAAAATAAAACCGGACAATAAAAGGCTCCCTGCAAAGAAGACTTACTTCTTTGTATACTTACGTCCCTTGCTGCTGGCATCACCAGTCTTGGCTGTAATAAAGAGAAACTGTCTGAAGATCCTGCAGAACCTGACACTTTTAGGGGTGTCAATTTTTTAGTTCACTAGTGCACTCAGTGATATGATATGCTGGCCCCCCTGAGGAACCACAGTGCACAGTAGGAGACCTGAGAGTCAACACTACCAAAAGTGCTGGATTCCTTAGGATTTTCACTTGTGGTTTCTCCTCTCTACTACATAGTGCAGAGGTGCAGGCATCAGGAGATGAGAGTATTCATGGTCTTCTTTGTAGGGAGCCCTACATACAGTATTGTAACAGAGTTACTTTAAAACTAAACTGCAGACACATTTAAAAAAAAACATCACCAATTAAAGCAGATGAGTAGTCAGTATAATGTTTTACACGTATTTTACATGCAACCAGTAGGGGTACTTGAATTTGTCTTGATAATAACTTTTTGTATACCCCTGAACAGAATAAGTCAGTCTGTGAGTTAGTGGAAAAGCGCTAGAAGTCAGGCAGAGGTGCTGCATGTAAATATACCCCATAAGAAACATGCTGATAGGAGGAAAGAGCAGAGGAGGAACTCATCAGTCTGCTGTTCGTTTATTGACCAATCACAGGCTGGAGGAAGAAAGGTGACCTAGCTATATGTTTTTACTGCAGTAAAGAAAGGTCAGGTCTCCAGACTGGCTGCGTTGTCTATCTGGGATCTTTTAATTTCAGAACTAGATGGATAGAAGCACAATTCAATTTTTTTGTTAGCAAATATTTAACTTCAAAAAATTAATCAATCAATCAATCAAACAAATCAAAGCATGGGGAGAAGACATGGCTGTGCACACAAAGTTATACTTGGACTACTATATAAGTAATTATCTGTAGTCTGTCATGTGCTGCCCCCTGGTAAATGTAAAGGCATGTTTTCATTAAAACCATCAATCTCTGGTGCATGCAAAAAGTAATAGGACAACCTTGGGGGCTACTGCTTGTAAAATATTAACTTTTGGCTTTCAAACTCCCAGCCTCCAATACGTTTGAGAAGTATAATGAAACATAGGCTGTCAATAAATGTGCAATACCAAGCATTACTTAGTTAATCAAGAAAGCATTGTACCCAGGTGAGCTTCAGGGACCTTCATGGCTTTGGATCCGTAATAAATACATACATTGTAAACTTATAAACTATTTTGAGGGTAGAAGGTTAGTTTGTATATGTCTTGGGGAAAAAAGTTATACAATGCCCAGATTCATTAAGGTGCACTTATTTTGTGAGGTTATATGGAGAACTCAAATTTGACATGGGAGATTACTGTAGAATATCTTATTTTTGATCTATTTGTAAATGCCAGTTCTAGAAAATTCACAAATACAGTTTTTTATGCTTACATGACTGCACCAGCTGAAATCAGGCATCTCCATCAGTGCTCTGTCTCTCAGCTTTCTTTGAAATAAATCATGAGTTTCCTGGTCAAGATAGTGATGGATCTGTAAAATAAAATAAAAAGTAGTTATGTGCATAGTAAACATTTCCAATATTCTGGACAATTGGTTACAGATAGACCAGTTCTCTTGTTGTTAGCACAGTTCTCTTATTGCTATGCATGTCTTCTTATTGTGGACCTTCCAATAACTTTACAAGTCTGCATGAATATACGTATACCCAACGTGACACAGTATACAGAAATAGTACAGTTTTAAAAAAGATCCACTTTCTACCATTATAAAGCAGTCCATGTGCTTTAGTCAAGTGATGACTTTACCTAGGCTAAGAAAATGTTAATATACTGCTGTAGCATTTAAACTATGAGGTCATCAGATGGCAACATCAAGAGGAGCTGCCCATGGACACAGAGCCCTTCAACATAGATTCATTACATATTCCTGATTTTAACCCCCAGAAAATGCAGCACATTGGGGCTGCTGCCTCTCTCCCTCCTGCCTTAGACCCTATCTCATGGGTACCTTATAATAAATCTACAGTTTATAAACATTTGTATTTTTGGAACCTGGGTATCCAACAAGTTGAAGAACTCCATAGATTCCTCAGAGTTCTCATTTTTCTCCAGTTCCGGTTTCTTGCAAAGGGGGCACACCACATGTATAATACTTTTTTCTTTGATAACAGAGGAGAAATGACGAATGAAGCACTGCTCACATAAAGAACAATTGCAATACCTGTGTCATCTTCACAAACTGGAAGAAAATAAATGTGAGAAATTAGCCATGTGAATGGGACTTTAATACATCTGCCACAAATCTACCTTTATTGTGTAGCTTTTTTTGCCACTGTATCCTCACTGGCATAAGTCAGCACCAGGGCGTAGATAATTTTTTGGTCTGGGGGGGGGGAGGAGGGGTTCAGCAGCAGGTACCAAGTAAAAGCTTTTAAATAACATAATTCACACCAAATTCATAAATATTGGAAAAGAGAAGATTAAATGTGTTGCCCACAGTAAGCAATCACATACTTAATTCTATTGTCTCAAGTCCTCTTGAAAATTAAATATCCTTTCAGTTTTTCCTTCTTCCAGTTTCTATGAATGTGGCATATGGGACAGGAGAAGTGGTACCGTGCAGAGTCCATACATACAGAATAAGGACAGATACAGAGAATGACACCAGGCATACAGGACAGGAGAAGTGGGACTGTGCAAAGTCCATACATACAGAATAAGGACAGATACAGAAAATTACACCCGACATACAGGACAGGAAGAAGTGGGACTGTGCAAAGTCCATACATACAGAATAAGGACAGGTACCAAGAATTACATCCGGCATACAGGACAGGAGAAGTGGGACTTTGCAAGGTCCATACATACAGAATAAGGAGAGATACTGATAATTACACCCGGCATACAGGACAGGAGAAGTGGGACTGTGCAGAGTCCATACATACAGAATAAGGACAGATACTGAGAATTACAGCACACAGGCCTTTACTCAGCCCACAAACACTACTTTCATAAAATTAGGCAGTGTTCACGCATGCAGAAATCCAGGATATTTCTTTTCCCCCATACATTGGTGCTGTGTCCACACTGCATAGGTTAACTGCTTGATTTTTCCAGGGGTGAACGCAGAGTTTATACTCACCTAATCCTGTGATCCTCCGGAAATGGCACTTTGCCATGTTCAGCAGTGAACTGATCCTGCCATCTTCACATCCAGAACCCGTCTATGGGTGTGATGACATCAGGAACGCTCCACTGCATAACACCACTACACTGCAGGAGAGGCAGGGACTGGTCTTGCTCTGGACCGGGAGGATTGGAGGATTAGGTAAGTATATCTCTGCTCTGCAATCCCCTAGACAAAAACAAGCAGTTAACCTGTGCAGTGTGGGCACAGCCCCACTGCATGGGTAAAAATTTTTTTTTCAAGTAATCACAGAATGTTATGGTTTCACATCTGAGCGGGTGCTGGAAGGCGTGTAATCGCACACCTTCCTGCACCTGCAAAGAAAAACACGCTGCTGCTTAGTGGAGATGAATGGAGGTACCATTAGCCTAGGTTCACATTAGAATGCAACAGCAACGAAAAACTCAGTCCAGCCTTTCATTAAGGCCCTGTTCACATCTAGAGAATTAGGATTGTGGGCGGAATCACTGTGATTCTGTCCACAATTCCAAATCACATTGCAATGCTGGCAAAACGCCGCACATGTGACGTGTTCCATTCATTTTTAGTGGCACCACAAATGTGGTGTGATTTTGGAGTGTTTGTTGTGTGATACATCGATTAACAATCTCACTAGAAGCACATCACATTTTGATGCCACTAAAAATAAATGGAACACAAACACGTCATGTGTGCTGTATTTTTCCAGGGTTGCAGTGCGATTTGGAATCACAGGTAGAATCACAGCCAATCCAGCCATGGTCCCAAATCACTAGATATGAACTGGCCCAGGGGTCAGAGCCTAACGTCACAGCAGTGGTAGACTCAGCCCAGCTGCCCAGCCTCAATCACCAACTTTGCTGGTTTCCAATCTTTCCGAATCTCTTAGACTGAATGAAATTCATTAGCACACAGCAGTGGTAAGTTAGCCTGGCCCTGAGGAGAACACAAGAGGGACACATACATACCTGGACTCCTGGAGTCTGGACTGACACTGACTGGAGCACTTCATCCATGTGGTGTGCAGCGTTCTGTACAGGTGCAGGACCCAGACAATCTTCTTCCCCATGCCAAAGGCGGGAAGCGGAACTGTGCATCCAATAATAATAGAGTGGTGGGCAGGGCAGACACTCCCCCTCTGCTCATTTGGCATGGCAACAGGCAACCACAACGAAACTGCAAGTTGGATGCAAGGAGGAGCCAATGACAAGCGGCAGTGGGTGGGACAGGAGCTCCTGCTTTGCTCAGTGTTCCTGCTGCTTTAGACAGGGGCAGGACCCGGGATGAGAAGACAGTGAGTCACTGTGACACAGTCCACTCCAGACTCAGCTGACAGCTTCCTCCTCCCTCAGCCCACGGGGCAAACCCAAGCCTGACAGGTTCAGTACAGAGCACACACTGCCCTGTGGGTGGTGTCAGCTCAGACTCAGGGGCAGAGGAGTGTACTAATGTACATTGTGTAGAGAGAGACAGCCAATAGAGCAGTAAGTGAGTCAAGTGCCTGCTGCTTCTGAATGCCAGCCCAGCAGTGCACACATGCCACCCTTATGACAACATTTAAGACCCGTCTCTGCTGCCTGCTGCTGGGGTCAGTCCAGAAATTAACTGCATGGTGTCTCTGCTCTGCTGCCAGCCACATGCCACTAACGACAAGCAGCACAGCTGGTACATCATGCAGTTGATTTTTGGTAAGATGCTCTGTGAGGGGGGGTTGAACCCCCCTGATCCCCCCCTTATCTACGTCCCTGGTCAGCACTACCAGTATGCAGTCAGCTGTGAGGCCTATTATATAGAGGTGTGTGCCTTTCCAAATCATGTCCAATCAATTTATTTTACCACAGGTGGATTCCAATTAAGGTGTAGAAACATTCCAGCAAGGATCAATAGAAATGGAAGGCACCTGAGCTAAATTTCAATTGATGTTGCAAAGGGTCTGAGTACTTATGCCAATATGATATTTCAGTTTTTCCTTTTTCATAAGAGAGCAATTTCAACCAAGATGGGTCTTTGTTATGCTGACTCATGATTAGAAAATTCCAACCCAGGTTCTCGTTTCCATATAAATGAATCACCATATATTAAACTGATTGAAGAGAACTAGATACCTTGGAATATGGGTATTGGTCACAGCATAGAGGGCATTCATGTGAGAGATACTGGAGAGCAGAAGTGTAATCTGGACATGATGAAACAGCCTCTTCTATATCTTCCTGGCTCCAGAAGCCTTCGTTCGCTATACATAATTGCTCATAGATTTCTTGTTTTATTTCAAGTGACTGAAAAAAAAAATCTCCAGCTGAATCAATGAAAAGAAAATAAAGCATGGCATAAGGTTTACATGATCAAATATTAGCAATGATTAGATTTTCCACTGCATATTTTATTCTCTTCCCTGCCACAACTCATATATCAGTGGTCCCCACAATGGGTCCCGCATGCCAGATGTGGCCATTTGCTTGCCTTTATCCAGCCCTTGCGTCGCTATTCCTCCCACTGATACGAGGCTTTATTCTGCCCACTGTCAGCAAAGTTGAGGCACCATTCCTTCCACTAACACCATTAGTGGAGCACTATAACTTTCACTGACACCAACGACGAGGCACTATTTTCTTCCACTGATATCAATGATTGGGCACTATTCCTCCCACCAATACAAATGATGAGGCATTATCCCTCCTCCTACTAACCAAATGCACTTTCTATTTTTTTTACTCCTATTGACCACCTGAGGCATTGTTTTACTCCCACTGACGCTGGGGCATTTTCTTCTTACACTGGCCACAGTCTGGCCCCCCTAAAGTAAAAGAACAGTAACCTGGTCCCTTGTTTAGAAAAGTTTGAAGATCCCTGGCATACATAATGTCCTGTTTCCTAATGGCAAGTTCCATGGACATTGTGATGGTACTGACACTGTGATAATACCTACTGGGTCTAGGTTCCTATACGTAGAGTTTTCCATGGTTCACATTAGCGGGAACATTATCCTTGTCCCTTTTTAGTCCTAATTTTTATTTTTCTGAAGGGTTCCCTCTCAGGTTTTTTGTCTCCTGTACTGCATCACAGCTACAGAGACAGTGGGGTTGAACTACTAAAGAGCTAGAGGTGGTTCATTTATCAAAGTGAATGTTCACTTTGCTAAGTTAAAGTGATACTAAACTACAGTATATACTTATTCTCCAAAAATAATCCATATATGTCCACTACTTCTACCACTATGGTCTAATGGTCTATTTTTCATTAGGTCATTTCTTTTTCTGCCACTTTCTAAAAACCACCGCTAGCTCCTGAACCTCTCCTTTTTCCTCTTAGGCTGCTTTTACACTTCGCATATGTGTTTTTGCTGCATTACCACATTTCTGGTGCGTTTTGCACCTGTGAGAAAAAGGACATCTGACAAAAAAACGCAAGTGCGGGTATGTTTTTACATGTTTTTTGCTGCAATTTTGCTGCATTTTTATTCATTACAATGGAAAGTTGCGTTTTTTGTTTACTGCACCAAATATGCACCACAAATACAGCAAGCAGAACTTTTAAAAATGCACCTGACCGGTGTGAAGAGCTCCATAGGACTTAATGTTCATGCATTTTTCTTCTGCTTTGGTAAGGCAAAAATTGAAGAAACACTGATCAGTGTGAAAGCAGTCTTACGTCCATATGTTGGGAATGAGCAGTGCATGTTAGCTGCAGTGATCCACACAAAAGAGGTTGGCTATGTTCCTACGTACAATGGGACCATAAAGAATGAACACCCTCTAAAAGGAAGTCAGATCGCAGCAGTTAAAAAAGGACATTGGAGGAGGTTGGGAGCAATAAAAGGTACGTTTCTGAATTATGAATACATACTTGAACAGATTTTTTTTTTAAACCAGATTTCAGTGTCACTTTAATAAGCTGAAGCTGTGCTCAGTTGGCATGTCCAAAGCGCAAAACAAACTTGACTTTTGATTGCACAGAACTGGATGACTGTCGTGAACACAGCTTCCTCATATTCACTAAGCTAAGTAAACATTTACTTTGCATGGTGAACATAGACTTTAAAAACTGAACATATAATATTCCTTTAGTTAATCAACCCCAGTATTTCTACCCAGCAAATCTTACTGGAAACACAATGGGGTTGATTTACTAAAACTGGAAAGTGCAAACCCTGGAGCAGCTCTGCATAGAAAGCTTCCAGTTTTTTTTTGCAAACGCTTAATTAAACATGCTGAAAGTAGAAGCTGATTGGCTACTATGCACATCTGCACCAGATTTTGCACTAATGTAAAACAGAATGATATTGCACTTCAAATAAAAAGCAATAATTTGACTCAAGGGGCTCAGCTACAGCAACTTAACCTGCTCTGAAATGTGCTGCTGCAGTTTTCTCCACTGCTTGCACATGATCTTAGATATTGTGCACATGATGCTCAGAGATTAACAGTACATTCCAGTTATTATTGAGTGCCCAACATATAAGGATCAGACCAACCAAAATGGCTTAAAGCAGAACTTTACCCATAACAGTTTGATAACAATTAGTGTTCTTTAAGGGCCAGCTCACACTACAAAAATGCACTCTGGGTGCATTCCGGACACGTTTTTGCCTACAGTTTACACCACACGCAGTTCCGGTGCAGTTTTGATGCAGTTTGCCATTTTCCAGTGTGGTTCTGTGCAGAAAAAAATGCTGCTTTTTCTACTTTTTTTTTCTGCACGGGGAACTGGCTGCACTGGTGTGAACTAGGGTGATTGGAATACATGGAAAACACTCTGCATGCATTTTTGATGCAGAAAAAAGCACACTGAACTGCATCTAGTGTGCACTAGCCC